GCCATCTAACCACCTCAACTGTTATGAGTATATATATTATTATTTTTTATTATTATTATTCCCTTGGGTTCCCGGTGGAACATGGGGCTTCAACTGCACGCCTCCACTTGTTCCTCTCTTCTGCTGTACTTTTCACCTGCATCCATGTTAATCCATACTGTTTCAACTCCTCTTCACACGATCTCCTCCATGTCACCCTTGGATGTCCCACTCGCCGCTTCCCTTACGGGTTCCAATCGAGCTATGGCTTGACTGACGCGTGATGTCACACAGCGGTCTCCTCAGCGAGTGTCCAATCCATCTCCACTTCCTTCTCCTGCATATTTGTTGGGCGATTGGTTCTTGTTTTGTTTGTTCTCATAGTTTCTTGTTGGTTCTTGTTCTTTCCGGCGGCCATCTGATCTTGAGTATAGAGCCAGCGAAGACAGTTGTTGTTGATAAAGGTGTGCAACAGGCTATTGGAAATATTCTTTGTGACCCGCCAAGTTTCTGATCCATCCGTATAGAAGAACTGACTGACTTGACGTTTGTATTGAAAATCCGAATCATTTTGTTGTTGATGCTGAGTTGAGTGACGAAGATTTCTAGATTGGTTTCAGGTTGATGAATGTGTTTCTCGCCTTTCCGAATCTCGATTTGACATCCTCGTCCGTTCCACCTGCCTTTAGTTGAGACAATGCTCCCTAGATAAGTGAATGAAGTAACCTCTTTCAAATTCCTCCCGTTGATGGTGATTGGCGCTTGATATTGCTGTTGTTGTTGGTTGGTTATTTTCATAACCTCCGTCTTGTCCTGTATTCACTAGTTGCTTCTTCGACCAGTTTGTCGCTTTTCGCCTGTAAGTCTTCGATTTTGTGTGACATCAAACATAAGTCATCCGCGAAATCCAGGTTCTTCACGTCGGTCCAGGATATCCCTGTATTCTCGTTTCCCACTGTCTGACGCATAATCCAGTCCATCACAATTAGGAATATCATTGGTGATAATAAGCATCCTTGTCTGACTCCTGTGTTTACTCCAAACGCCTCGCTGAGTTTTCCGTTGTGGATCACTTGACATGTGCCGTTGTCGTACAGCTGTTGAATAAGGTTGATGAATATTTGGGGTACGCCGTAGTACTCGACTAGTTTCAGAATTACTTCGCGGTCAACGCTGCGCAGTCGAAGGCCTTCTCGAAGTCTATAAAGTTGAGGTAGAGGTTTGATTGCCATTCAGTATATCTACTGTCGTTTCTGGGTCCGCTTTCAGTGCTTCAGGGGGTATTCCATCTGATCCAGCTGCTTTTCCAACTTTCAGAAGATTGATTGCATTCAAGACTTCCAAGTGTCCGTTGAGAGCCATTCCTTATCTTGTCTCTTCTTTCTTCCTTAAACCGTTGAACACGTTTCGCTGAAAATCACCTTCAGAGAGTCCCAATGATCTTCCACGCATGATTCTTCCGTGATGTCACGTAGTGTTTCCTGCTTTGCTCTGACAGTTGCAGTGAAAGTGTCTTTTGTGGTTGTGTCCTTCAGTTTTGAGTGTTGAAGGACACAACCACAAAGGACACTTTCACTGCAACTGTCAGAGCAAAGCAGGAAACACTATGAGTATATAGTGAGACAAAAACATCTAAACATTCCATTAAAAGGCGGTTAGTTCATGCGGTTAGTTAATGCTGAGAGTTTTTAATAATTGTTCAAATTTAGTTTCTTTGTCCTAAGCATACCTAATCAATCTGATCAATTTCACTAATGTACATAAATGCAGTAAAAGTAGTGTGAGTAGTGACTTGATATGATTATGAGCAATAAATTGCGCTCGCTCGTCAAAACATCCTCAGTTAATTTACTGTATAACATCACTGTGTGACGCTTTATCAAAATAAAATCTCATCTCTAATGGAGTTATCCTCTACCACAATGTCCAAGTTTTATACTTATGTGCTTCAGCTACTCTGATTATCATTCACACTATCAGAGGCCTCAGGCGGGCCAATACTCATCAGAAAAGTTGCTTAACTTTCACTTCATAGTAGTCCTAACGTTTTCTATATAGGCTGTATCACAAATATACCACTTAGTTTGTAATTCGTGATTAGTACCGATCGGTTCAGCTGTTGTTACTGAGGTACATGAATTTTCATAGTACTCGTCAAGTGATGGGGATAACAATCATTCGTCTTTGTATACTACGATTATTAGACTATAACTAATAGGCAGACGACAATTAAATCTCACAATGCAAACTTTGAAGTGAGATTCACGGTGTTTCGTGAAGTTTAGTCAACTGTCTGTTTGGACAGTGAACTAAGATGGTGTCTGTAGTATTACTAGTACTCTTGTCCACTTTCTTTTTGAGTGGGACGCACCCTATCAACGACACATCACCACATTTTCTTATTCTCTGAGGTCCTGTTTAGCTGGGCACATGTCCGTCAACAGTCTCTCATTTCTGTCCCACATGATCTCCTCCTTGTTAACCTCGGACAGACGTCGAACTCGCCAATTCCTTTACTGTCTCCCCTTCACTGTCTGACCTCGAGTGTGACATCATTTGACAGTCACCTAAGCGTGTGTTCGATCCATAGCCATTTCCTTTCGGAAAAAGATGTTGAGCAGACGTTCTCTCCTGTTGGTTTGTTCTCAGAATTTCTTGTGGCTAATTTTTTGCAGCCAGACTGTCTTTAATATGGAGTGAAGGTAGTTGTCGATAAAAGTTTGTATCTTGATGGAAATGCCTTTTCGAGACGTGTGTTCAGTGTTACTGACCCAAGGGTTAGAAATGACTGACTTAACATTGGTGCTGAAAATGAGAACTGTGTTTTTCACACTGAGTGTAGTAGATTTCCAAACTGCCTTCAGAATGGTGAATGCGTCCCCTGTAGTTTCTAATCTGGTTTCGACACCTTCATCCGTGCTGAATGCGTGTAATTGAATCGATGCGTAAGATTGGAAACATAACGATTGTGCTTACCTTCAAATGAAATGATATCTGAAACAGGAAAAAGAGACTATCAGATGTGAATCATCATTAGTGTTCATTGTTTATACGGAAATGTGCTTGTTTGATTGTTTCTGTGTGAGTGTGTGTGTGTGTGTAAAAGTCCCTTATTTTCAAATTAATTAGTAAAATTCATGTGAAACTATTCACTTTAATCAATGCAATGTACTAGTTCGTTGATTTTTAGGCAACTGCTTCAGATGATAACTGCTAGGCATACAGTATCTAGAAACTATCCCTCCAGTATCAAGTAACCGATAGTCAGAGTTTCAAACTTACTGAGTGATAAACAAAACTGACACAGACATTCATCTATGCAGCCAATGGTTAGTAAACACTATGTCCTTCTATTCTTAAACGTTGTTCTGAATCTTATAATTCGGTGTGAAATATACATAACTCCAAATTTTGTCATTCGTATTTTGAATGAAACGCTGAGATTCAGATGTATATCTCCATTTCACTCAGTTCGCTGTTGTCTTGTCTCAGCTGGCTTCGTGATCGTCTACAAGGTCATATACCCCTTTCACATGATCTCTTTCACATCATTCTTGAACGCTTACATCAATGATTCCCTTGCAGGTTCTATGTTACGGTCTTCTTGGAGCAAAATATCATTCGAGTGGTCACCTTAGAACGCGTCCTGTATATCTCCATCTCCTTCTGTATATTTGTTGGACGAAAGATTTTTCGCCAGAGTTCCTTGTTGCATTATCCGTTGAAGCTGGTTATCTGGTCTTCAGTGTTGAGTAAAGACTTCTTTCGACAAAATTCCTGAGTAGTCTGGTGAAAACCTGATATGAGAAATTCATATCATTAATGAAAATTGTCTAAACCAGCACCGATTTGGTACTGGTGTCAAGAATTTGAATCTTGCCTCTCATACTCAATGGTGCAAATGACCATGCCAGTTTTAGAGTAATGAACACCTGTCTCTGTTTATGGGTCCTGGTTGGCTTTGAAATCCTCATCCGCGACACGTGTAGTTCACATGATACTTACTATCGAGGTAAGTAAAGTGGACGATCTCCTTTCAGTTTCTTGTTATTGTCGTTGTTGTTGGTAAGTGACATTGCAGATTCTACGTTTTCTTCAAATTGAACAGATGAGAAAATTAATCCACTAGAATCAGCTTCTAAAGTTATTTTTGTAGCTTATTGAAAATTAGTCCTTAAAATAGTCCCACCAATGCAATATCTATTTGAAGCCAATCCCGGCTGGCCTCAATGATTATACAAATGTCAAAAAGTGAACTTGTTTATTCTGTATTACTCCGTGGATTTTATCTTGGTAAATGTGTATAATCACAACAGTGTAATGCATCAGGGTGTGACAGTGAAAATTGTTGATACTGATAGAGAAATGAAATCTTAAACAGTTAGTCAGAGAATGCTTCCTCTAATGATTAAGTTCTACTTTTCTTCAATAAACCCGAGTATGCTTAAGAAGACTGTTTCCACCCCATTTTTCTCCTATAGTCAACATAGAGTGGTGGTATCAAGTATCTGTAGAAGTGAATATTTACATCTCCTTGACTTGATCTGTAGAGATTCGATCGGTTTCCAGTTTGAATGTGGATTGAAATTAGTCAGATGAAAATTATTAGAGATAACTAGACAGTTAGTTAGTTGGGTTCGATCTCCGGTGAGGTCATTTATACTTGCTGACAAAATGAATGACACAGCAGTAGAGTACTCCCTAGTCAGTCAGTCAGTCAGTCAGTCAGTGGTTTCAGTAGTCTTCATGCTTTCCCTACACACAGTGGGATGGTTCACCTGACGCTCAAAGTTACCCACCCCTCCCCACTGGGCTTATGGTCTGTTAGGTGAAGTTTAAGAGTAAGTAGGTCAATCGGGAATCAAACACTGAGCCTAATTCTCGATTGACCAAAATTCTACCCACGAGCAAGTGATGCACACACCCCACCGAAATAAACTGATATATTCAGCCTTAATTACTCCCTTTTCTTTGTGTATTAATAACACAGTAATTGTCATTTAAACCCTGTTGACTTCATTTCACTTACCAGTTATCCATTTATCACTTTCTAATATACTTGCAGATTCAAGGGATGATTGTAAACTGTCAAACCAGTCTTCTGACGGAAATACCTGCTGCATTTCAGTATGTGGCATTGCCAGTAGTACTATAATGTTACTAGGAGTATTTAGTTGATTTGGATCCAACTGGGGGATATCACATGACAGTGGAATTGAGCTCAATCTGGGCTCTGTTCTCTTCACTACTTCTTTTACCTATGCAAGATATCAAAAACAGAAACAAGTAGAAAGTACTCCCTTAAGTTTGAAAGTAAATTCAGTAGTCTTTTACATCAGTCTATGAAGCAAATCAGTGAAGAAAATTTAGTGAATAGATTTAGAAATCGAATCTGAGAGTTATGTTCTAAATAAGTGGGGATTTATTTTGATGTATGGTAACTTGCAGTTGATTCCAGGATGCACACTTCGCATCTGGATGTATTCTTCAGTGAGTGGTGGTCTTTTCATTAAGTCTCAAACTCAGTGCCAATCTTATCAAACGCCAAAGAGCCATCCTACAGACCACGGGAGTCACCCCTTATGAAGTGGGTGCCACTTATCTTTCTTTTTAATTCAGTCTGACTTTCTCGCTGAATGATTCGACTGAAATCTCCGGCCTCTGTTGTCATGTCCGATCAGTGGGTCCCATCAATCAACGGAAAAATCAAACTTCATTTCAAAATTAATAATTACAGACATCCATTACATAGAAGGTCTTTCTGGTGGCTCTCATCTCATCTTCTAGAATATGCCTCTTTGGTGTCTGGGACGATTGGTACTGGGTTCCAGACTCAGAATACCGTCATTCACTGAGGAATACACCTAGGTAATTAGCCTCAAATAGGACGAAGTGCACACCTACTGGATTCCACTGCTAGTCAATATTCACCAAATCAATTTGATTAAGTCTTCAGACGTCGTACAAGGAGCTAACATGTCAAAAGACGTTGAACACTTTGGTCTAATCAATCAATAAGAAATTTTTTTTTTAAATGGTGATTTATTTACATTGACAAATGCCACAGATGTGATTCACTGATTTCTTTCCCCAGAATTGAATACCTCGGGATAACTAGTGATACTGGTTAGTGTAAGTATTCTCTAACTACAGCCTTCCATTTGCACATTTAGGGCATTTCTATTGATACCATGATGATATCGTCATCTTGAAGGACAAACAACGGATAACTTCTTGTTCTAAACACAAAGAAAATCTCCACGTTTGGTTTTACCACTCCACCATAAATGCTGAATTATTTCTATGAAGAGAGGAACAGGGACAACGCCAAAATTTGGAATCGGCTAGCGCACTATCGTTACCTCTTCTGTCAAGTTATACTCTATACTTACGAAAGCCTATGAAGCATACTATGGTATATTTGTCTGTATGAAAGAACTGAGAAGAAAGCGTCCAACACAGCAGGTGAATCGCAGTTTCCGAGTTGTCCCCGTGTTTCGGTATATCATAGTCGACATTTTAGCAAGTAAATAGACATCCTAATACGGTTGGTGATGAACATGCTGTCTATCCTGATCTTGGTACTTGCACGACTTATGTATTACTCAGATATCTTCCCAAAAAAATATTACAATAAACTAGGAAGTTATTCAACAATATCAGAAGACATTGACTTTGAAAAAAGTCTACATATTCTTACAATCCATTACCATTTTTAAAAAATTTTCAAAACAAACTCTACTCACATCTTTGCAGAGGTTGTCTAAGATTGCTAAGAATCGACGGTCTGATTTGTTGTAGTCTCCAATTACCAACGGTTTGACTGAAAGTTCTATTTCAGCTATGAGAACCTCTGAAAATCATGTTGAAAAGTGAAGATATGTGTTACAAAGAAACTCTTCATAAAACTGTTAGTATTATGATTTTCATCGGTTGGTTTTCATTCACTTAAAGCCGCTATATGCTAAAGACATTGACTGTTATCGAAACCTACTGACTGGAAACCTGATGGATCTCGCTGACTACGACTTCTCATTTTGAAATCTCAAGTAACTTCCGATATAGAGCCAGTCGCTGCTAGTCAGCATCAGATTAATTTTCTTGTGTTGGTGTATAGGGGGGGGGTTGACTGGTGACAGGATTGATCACGATCTGATCACGATCGGTTACAGACACTGGCTGACAGTTGCGCTAAATACACTTCACCAGATTAGCAGACGTTGAAATTCACGTACCAATGGCTGGGACACAAGTAGCTGAGTGATCTCTATGGACTCGCTTTGTAACCAGGAGGTCCTCATCTCGAACTCTAGTGGGTGTTTACTGATGAGGAGTCTCAAACCAGGACGAATCAGCACCTCAGTACTCCCGACTGGTTTTCCAATGGCTCTCTCACTTATTTAAACTTCTGATCAATCCCGTAACAAGTGAAGCTGTCACTTCTTTTGCAAACATGGCGAGCCACATCTGATCAGCATACATTGCAGTACTGCAGTAGGCTTCAAACTTCGGTTAACAGTTCCTTTCGGTCAACACGGAAGAACAGATGGCAGGCCAGAAATGAAAAAGAAACAAAACAAGGAAGTCTGGTAACGAAGCCGATGAATTCAACATATGCAGACAGGGAATTGGAGATCAACTGATCGAACATATACTAATGAGAGCGTTGAGTGGTATCACAAGCCAAAAGGAACTAGAGTGGAACCCGAATATGAAACAATGGATTGAGTGTTGATCAAAGAGTCACAGTTAGGAGATCGTGTGAGGATGAAATGAATGCCTTTCGACAATCGAAATCCAAGTGAAGAAGACTGCAGAGAACAGAATGAAATGGTGGTCTGCTTTGAAATTAAGCCTCCTATTTATGCTATCATTTCATTGCTCTTTATCCTGCTGTGGCATGTACTACTGATAAGGTATATCAGTAGCATACAGAAAGTCGTTCTTTGTCTTCGATCGTTTTACTATAACTGGCGTTTCGAGTGTAAAACTGCATTTTACTTAGTTTCCTGCCACTATTCCCTCTTAATATCATCCTCTTCATTCCGCCCTCTGACGACTAATTCATCGCTTCTAGGTCTGGCCTCCACTTGACAGCCCGACATGCGATGTCACTCAACCATCTCTTCAGCATATCTTGAATCTATCTCGATTTCCTCCTCCATATTTTGGCTAAGAGGTTCTCGGTTGGTTCGCAGCCTGTAGTTGTATTTCGTCTATCCTTTCTGGTTGGCTCTCTGTTCTTCTGTGTTAAGTGAAATCAGCTAGCTACTCATAAAAGTTTGCAGTAGCCTGTTAAAAATGATTTTGGTGATGTGTCAGGTTACTGAACGGCATGGCTATGAAAAATTGTTGTCGAATTGTGTTCATTCTAAGCAAATGAGAAATATTTCTTCACAGGGTTGCTAATAACGTCTGTTAGGAATAGGCCAAGGACAACTTTCTCACAACTATACACATACTGTTCTCTCTGATCAGTTCGCTTTTCACTCGATGATAACAAGCAGCATCATAATGCACAAATGGTCATCATCCTATTTCGCAGACACTCATAGATATTTGACATTTGTTCCACACAAAACACCTGAACTTTCAAATATCCGTTCAGTCTATCAGTAAGTCCATAGCACAATCCACTAAACATATCCCGCATACGATTTAATAAATATCACTTTTGCCATTACATACCTGAGTTTACATCAGCCAACTGTACTTCAGTAACACCAAATAGGAAACGCCAAAAGAGAACATTGCGTGAACTAAGGTAACCCTTTTCTAAAAGCTTCTGATTTGATAACTTCAACTGGATTGATTTTGTCGCCTTATTCAATGAACATTTCTCAATTGTTTCTTTCAACCCAGGATATAACTTTGACACCTGTTTCTCCACCTGATTAAAAACATCAGCCAAACAGATAAAGTGAAAAGTCAGCAATCTCAGTTAATTGAAAATAAAACGAATACAACCTGAAAGTTGAATAACACTCATCATTCAAAATAATAATAAATATGATTATATCTGACAGTGATCACAAAAGTTACCCCTCAAAAAGTAAATCAAAGATCAGATCAGTAGGAATCACTGAAAGGTATTTGGTACTAACTTTTACACTGTTGAAGAAATTTTTAGCCCACAATCCAAAGCGAATTGACTGTAGACCAAAATCTAGCTGATTTCTGTGAAACTTGTTAACGAGGTAGTAAGTAGCATAAGACAATGCATATGTACACTGCATTACACAGTGAGTGCATTTCACTTCGTCGTTATTCTGTTCATGAGGAGAGCTATTTTTGGCGTGTGGAGCACAGATCGAAATCACTCTACACAACCATCTACCGCTCTGCTTAACAGTTACCTTAGAAAAACAACATCAGCTGTGTCAGAAAGGAGGAACTATTCGGAAAGCATCACTGATATATCTTTACAGTAGTAGGCATATTTATTTACTAGTAAGCGTGTACAATGCCTCGATTTGGATAGTTATCCATCCCATGTTAATGAAATTGAATTCCTCACAGTTACATACTGAGAACCATATTCTTCTCACTGAGCTAGTCGTTCTTATGTACTTACTCACTTTCATACCTTCCATACTGTCACATTTGAGAAAGACGGAAGTCTTATGAAGTGAAATACAATCTAAAGTTACCAGTGTCATTATATTTTCCGATTTCATTGCACATATATCACCGACAATAAATAAGTACGAAAGAATTAAGGAATCACACATCACACAAATTTTTCAGGTGGTGGTGGCTTCTCAACCATGAAGGTCCGTAAACGCCAACTATTCTTCTCCGTCCTCTTCTTATTCCTCCATGTATAACCAGCCAGATTCGGTATGCAGTTCATCCACTGGGGCTAATGTGACTCCTAATAAGAATGTAGCAGCAAAGCACATAGAAACGTTTCACGGATTCTCCTTAAATCTGCATTGGATACTAACCACTGAATGCAAGCTCCAGCGTCCAGGCCATCAGCAGAAAGCGAATTTCCTCCTCAAATTTATTAACAAACTTACAGTTTTATCAAGGTTCTCAGCTAACATTTATATAAACTCTGAGCACTTCAACTCAACGAAACAGTATTGCAGTGGCTATCCAATTCCTCAAGAATTGGAGACGATCAGACTGACAGGCATCAGTAAACCTTCCACGTAAGTACATAAGAAGGGTAACAGTAAACGTCTCTAACACCTACTAACACTCATCATTATTCCCGCTCACTTCGCTACCATTCTCTTCACTAGCAGACGTTGTTACAGCATCTCGCGTTTGAAGGGTATAAACAGCCGCATTTACACTGAGATCAACATGTTTCTTACATAGGACATAAATAAAATGAAGCATTCCACATCACAACAGGCCTACTGATGTGGATAAATTCAGCGCCGTATTTCATTGTAAAATACTCCAATTGGCTGCACTGAATAATCACTCAGTAAGTCCGAATTGAAACCAGCTGACTAACCTTTTGGCACCAACCGTTGGGGAGTTTTTGAAATGTCACAGGATAGGACAGTGTGTATTCTAAAATAAAGATCAATTCAAGAAAAATGATGCCACCCTTCTTAAAAACACCAATGAAAAAATAAAATTCCAAACGATTTCATCTTACCTTCTCGAACAAGGTGACGTAATTTCTCTCACACAACTAAGTTATCTGCTCTTAGCGAATAGCGACATCATCAGTATTTGTTTACTGATGACGCTGCGGGTAAGATCTATTCCTCATATTTCTTATCAGGTCACAAGCGTTAGTTTCAAACTTTGCTATTTACTACTTTTATTATTTCTTATCCTTTGATCTTACTGGTGAAAATGTCTGCATATCTGAGGGACTGACACTGCGTAGTTCCTACTGCACGTGTTAGATAAACAAGGATTCAGGCGTCTTTATCTTACTCAATCAACATGTATAAGCTGTCATCACTTTAACTCTGTCCCTCCCCTGTTGTGTAACTGTGTGTTAGCACATGCATTAAGATTGCTGAGCCTCACTCTAAACTATTCACCCTTGTGTGGCCAGTCATTCTACATTCAGATAAATTCTTGTGTCAAGATAATCTGACCACCAACGATCTACTGGTGTGATCTATGCAGTTGGTTTCACAGTCGTTTCAAAGTATTTTGTAAAATACATTACGTCATTAGAGTCCTTTGGTCTAGAGAGTTTGTCTCTGAGTGAAACTCTAGGCTTAAAACTCCGCCATAGTTCCTGCTTTACTAGGAATCCTTCTTAAAGTTTCAGACATCCCTTCCTTATATGGTGGAACCACAATTGCCTTAAACTCTTTCTTATATATTTTCTCGCTAATGGTTCCACTGTTGCTTCTCCTTAATCTTCTGAGCATTTTCGATCACCTCATTAAATCTTATGCGACAGTAGTTTGATACCAACGCTGTTTCTCCTTATTTTATTTCACTGTTCAGGTCCCCTGATTATGTAGTCCTCTACATGCACTTACATTCACAACACACACACACACATTAAGACTGAAAACTGAGTATTCGTTAAAACGCCGATCTAATATTTTCTCAGTGCTTAGTGAGAGGAGAAGACTAGTCCTTAGTCAATAGACATGGATCAATAAATAGCATAGAGTTGAAATTCCCTAACAATGTCACAATACTCATCAAAAATTACGTCATCTTCTCACCTGTGTTTCTCCATACCTTTTCTGGAAATAAAATTGAAAAGTAATAATACACCGATTATCGATGTGAACAAAATTTCAATGCTCAGAAATAACTAATACTGCTCAAGGCACAATACTTTCACAGCACAAAGCTGACGAATATCGTTAAAGGCTAATTGAATTAGTCAATCAGGCAAGGATGTTCTTGACTGATTATCTTCTGACACTAAGAGGTTTCAGTTATACGATTCAGTTCATAACTGTTATTGAGCGTAAACTTTCCATCTAGAATTGGCATCTGAATGAGTAAATTACCCCAATGAATGAATGCAGACTTTGCTGTTTCATGCAGTGAAAATCTAACAAGTGACTTATTCCTACAGGTGATGTTGAAAAAATAGTAAACCCTTTTGTGAATGTCGCATTACATTCTGCATAATTGAACAACATCGTCAGTCGGCTTATTTCATAGATTGAAACGATGAAAACACTTTTATCCTTCACTGTTATACAGACATTTCGTTGACTACTCTCCCCAATCACTGATTCACTCTCAGCTACTTGGGCTCTGCTGTAGACAAATAACCATAGCACATGTTGTATTCAGAAATCCAGAGTATGAATTAGGGAGTGTAGGGTTTTACCCATTGGTGCAAGCATTGCCGTATCATTTAAATGCGAGCTTTGTCATAACCAAAATACTTCACTCTGATGGAGGAATATTCAAATGACCAGAATGATTTCAATCATCAGAAATGTGTTCAGACAGTTGAAGTGAGAATGTGCTCATTCGGGAAATAAAATCAAACCTCTCCTAGTTTAATAGTTTACTAATGTACCAACCCATACTAAGTTCGGAAAGGGTAGGAAGGAGGATTTAGATATATTGCTTCCCTAGAGTCAGGGAGACGAAATCATACAGGCTGATAAAATCCTCCAAGCAAACGGCCAGCCGAAGCGTCTTCCTCTGATAAAAGCAAAACTAAGCATAAACTCTAAGGTCTACAAGTGAATACCGAACAGTGTGGAAGGGAATATGTGGGTGAATAAAGAGAAGACAAACATGATAAAGATACTTAATCAAAAACAGCAAGCACTAATCACCATCAACGAGGGAAAGTTAAAGGCAGCCACCTCTCTCACGTATCTAGGTAAAAATGTTTCAACTAAAAGTGGCACTGAGGACATCGTCAGAGGCACGAACGAAAGGGCAAGACAGACCTTCGTTAATTTTGAAATTAGGGTGAAAAATGCCTGTCCTCAGTAGAAATAACAAGATCCCAATTCTCAATACTAATGTCACGTCAGTTAGCTGCCTTCGCTCCCAACTAAATTTAGGATAGCCGGTTGGAGAAAATTAACAGCAAGGAACTCTGGCAATGGACCAGACTATGACATATCACTGAACAGATATGGAGGAAGAAGTGGAGTTTGATTAGAAATACGCTGAAACTGTTCAGTGACATCATGTGGAAGGCCATCAAGTCGAGCGTAAACTGAAAACGACTAGTTGGGTGTGAGTCCGAGAATCAGATGATGTGAAGAAGCGATGATAGCGTATGAACGATTGTACATCTGGGTGTGAAAGAATTCAGAGAACAGACTCAAATGAAGACATTCTTCTGAAGACGTATTTTCCATCCGGAACCCACAAGCAAACTATTATTACTAAAAAACATCAAGTACAACCGCATTCACTAAGAAAGTATTCACAATTTATCGTTCCATGTGGACGTATGAGTTTCGTTTGCATAAAGGGAAATAGAAAATATATGAAAATATTATACAAATCATCAACTTACTCGTTACTGACACAATAGCTGTAATCAAATGAAATAAACGTATTTGATTCAATGGACTCTCGAAAACATCAGTGTATTTGCGAACAGTTACATGGAGGCATAACAACTACCACTAATATGCTTACAAATTCAAACCACTCTCATAGATTATCATCACTATTCACTGCATTAGTCACACTGCATTGACAACTAAAAATAAATGAGTGTACTCATCAATCAATCATACCATTTAGCTGACGAACTACTATTCCTCTAAATCAACAGATCGCCTTATTATTATTTCACAAATGAAAGTAGTTATTCTACCAACCACTAGTATATTCCTAGTCATGAGACACACACATACACCACTTGTTTCACTCACCCGTTGGCCACTTATCATCATCAACTGGGATTGTTCCAGGTTTGACTGATTCTTTGAATAGTCTGAACCAGGCTTTTGACGAGAACGCTTTCTCCATTTCACTGGACGACATCATAAGCTGTACTGTGATTTCGAGTTTTGGGGTATTGCGATTCAGTTGTAATGGAATATCACATGATAAGGCAACTGAACTCAGTTTCTTTTCCATACTCTTCACCACATCCTTCACCTGATTACATCAGCAAAAGAAGAACAGAGAGAAATCGTAGGTTATATGCAAATAGTCTACTGAAATTAGGACAGCCTGTCTGCAGACTCACTAGTCAACACTGACTGGCTGGCACTGTGAGAACGCCAAAGGGACTAATATTTACAAATCGACAGTTAATTAATAAATTAAAGTGTTTATGCCTCCTCGGTCATGAGACTGAAAGTAATCAAGACACATAAATATGAATATCCTCTAAATCCCTCATAGTAGTGTGATGAGTAATTCTTCGACTGATTTCAAATGTGTATGGCAAGTTTGTCGCCCTTGTTGTTGCATAACAATTACACACGTTTTCCATCATGGACACCACTGTCATGAACATGATAGTTTCCACGGTGATTGTCAAGGGATTGTATTGAAAACATTCAGACATCGTCAAGAACTCTCTTCCAGACTCCCGTTTCACTGAACATTGAAATTACTTACATCCTGACAATATTTATCCAAAATTTTCAGTGATTCTTCACTATTTCTTGTGATGGCTGTTTCATTCCACTCTCTGACTAACAGAACCAGTTCCACTGAGGCAATTTCTAAAATGTATTAGGAACGTAATCGTATGCATTATTATTATTATTAGCAAATCATACGACTTTGTAGAAGGATGAATTAGCGGTAGTCAGTGCTCTGTCAAGCTTTTTTTTAATTGAAAACGTTCAGTGGTGGTAATTGAGATAATGTGTGTCTGTGAGAGGAGATTGGCAATCTGCAGAGTCAAATCCACGTAGAATTTTGAAACGTACAGCTCTTTGTTTCTCAGTGTTTCTGAAAATTGAGCGAGAACACCTTCCAATTTGTTGTTAGATCCTAATGGGCTAAAAACTGTTTTCTGAATATTCGATTCCCTCTGTGTCACTATAGAAAACAAATGTGCATCATGTCATGTGTATGTTTATGGATAATTTCCTCTTCACTTTCGTCCACTCTACTGAAGGTTGATTGACACTTACACAGTGAAGTAGACTAGAATACGTAGGACTGAATGAAATTTCAGCCCGACAATGAATGTTTGGCTACTTGATAGCATACAATACGAATGGAGGAGTAAATTGTGTTCCACGTTTCGACGAACTTCAGGAGATACTCTGTAGTTATTCCATTTGTATTTCCCAGTCAAAGTTAAAAGCAAAAATGTCGCTGAAAATCATGAATTGGTTAAATCATCAAAGAAGGATTCAGTAAAACTGTACAGAACAATATAAATGTATTCAATAATAATTAATTTTGGGAATAAATATCCCTTTGAGGTGGCTGATTGTGTCTGAATGCATAAATTTGTGGACATTGTAGTTCAAATTTATTTTAATCACTACGATATTTGAAGTAGTGAAGAAGGAGCGAAAATTGATATCAAATGACTGTCTAACTAACCTGGAGTTTTAGATTTGCGAAGATGTTTGGAATTAGTAGAAGCTGGTGGTTTAGCTGATACTGTAAGAAAAGAAGAAAGAGAACATTTTCTCTCATAAATTATCGAGTAATGAATTTGTAATCAATCAACTTTTCAAACCAAAACATGCTAAAGTGAAAAATTGTCCCATAGTATTCGGCTGGATGATGCAATTCATCACAGAATGATGCCAAACAACGTGTGACGCTTAATTTTCAAACATTTTGAATTACACTTAACATGTGAACGAAACAACAGTAACTGCTGTTTAATTAGATTTGCGTGATAATGAGAAATTTTCACACATCACATTTGTTCAAGTTTCAGTCTACAACAGTGTCACATGCACATTTTCTCTTGGCACACAGCCATCAGATGCAAAATATGCTGGCTGCTTCAGCTGATGTTGCATTTACCAAGACTACATGAAGAACAGTTTCATTCATGAATAAGAAAGAGGCAACAAACTTACTGATTCGGTGTTTGGTTCAGTCCAATGCGGACGACAATTAGTGTTGAAGTTTGCACTACACATATCAGCACAGGTTTTTCAGTTACGTATGCTTCCGGGTTAATCCCAATTCAAATTCAAAATTATCGCAAGCTGTTTGCAGAGTTCCTTTGTCGATCGATATTCGAGTAGAAAATCAGTCGGAATGTATTTGGAACGTGTTGACTGAAAGGGACTTCCATATCTTCGCTGCTGTTCAATGTATGAAGACGTCATGCAGAGAACTAAGATTAGTTACTGTTGATAGGGACTACGTATTCCTCCTACTTTCACACTGAAGTGGTGAAATCAAGATAATGTCTTTACCTAAGTTTGTCTGAAGTGATAAACTGAACATTTTCTTCATTTCTCATACGATTGATATTCATCGGTGAGGCGAAAAATGAGTGAAAGTTTCCTACATCTTGTTCATATCTCGTACATCAACACGCATCACTGATACAACACGAAGGACAGACAGTATAAGAAATTATTAGAGCATTTATAGATACCCATGTTCTTGTGAACAGAAACAGTGAAGAAAATCAAAAATAACCATGTTGTTCTCTTTCTATCAGACCACCTTCCATCAAAACATTACTCATAAAGTAACAACAGTCTACGGGTTGTTCATTTATCTTCTCATCTCCTGTATCAATATTATCAAATATTTTATTCTTGTCCAGTATGAAAATTGTCACGGAATTTTAGAGAAACACCAAACTGTGATGTAATCACGTAAATCTCTTATCCTGCACACCTTACCATGCATCTTAGTGGATTCGTCATTCTGGCAGAATATAGTCAAAAAATGTCAGCAGTGGTAAAGTGTCATCCTCGGTGACTGGAAGTGGTTTCGTAGACTGAGTACATTCTAGAGATAAGCACTTGTTGTTATGCACACGAGTCTTTTTTATTGTAACAAGTGTACACTAGAAAATGCTCGAATCAATCTTCTTGAGATACACAAGAACGTTTATTAACAATACAAATAGGTAAGCGAGCACAGATATACGATGTCAGTGTGGTGAGTTTCAAATTCAGGCAATATAGTCTTATTTCACGTCATCGTCAGGTGTGGTTCAAGTTTAAAGCGCTCACTAACAGCGCACGTGGTCTGCGGTTTGATCCTCGGCCAACGCACTCCTCAATCTGATTTAGCCAGTAGTAAAACCAGTGAAGATGGATGGTTGAGCGTGAGGATAGCAACCCCACCCCATAAAAAATAAACATCACTACAACTGAAACTTCAAAGCTCCAACTTGAAGCCCTGCGTCCCGCACTCGGTACGCAAAGGGATGAATGAGTAAATAAATAAATAAAGCCAGGTTTGAAGTATTCCCCTCAAACAATCTCACCATCGAAAAGCTTATTCAGGGTGCTTTTTAATTCACATTTATAAAGAAACTGATATTATTATTTGAGTATGGGAGGAAACATGCCGTCAGTCAAACTATGAGACACACCATCCGAATTTCTGTTTTCCACAGACATAATCTCATCCACAAATAGGTCCCCACTGTTTCTGCTTTATTCAAGATGAATTGTAATTTCCAAATTCCATGCACAGCATATCTCCTGAAAATCTTTGTAGTTCACAGTCGTAATCTGCTGTTACCTCCACTCTCTACCCGGGTTATTACTTGTTAGTCGAAGTTGAGGAATGAGTCAACTGAGGCCGAAACGCAAACCACGTGCCTGATTGCTGAGGGTTCTACCTCTGACCTACCGGTGCACACATTAATAAAATATACAATTCACATTAAATTATCAACTGAGATTAAGAAAAAAATCATATTCAACTTACCTATGTCCAGTGTATTATACCCAAATAATAAAAGGATGAGTGGAATCACAACTGGTGATGATAGTACAGACCTCATGGTTTTGTCTCACTCGTCTAATGAGCGATTTCTACTTATTTCTGCCTTCGTTTATATTTATACCAATTCCAAGTCCAATTAGGGAAAGAGAAGAACAAAAAAATGTTATAATCAGGTCAAGAAATGCTTGTTATTCTTATTATTAGATTCCATTATTCAGCTATAATTTCTGACTTGTGTGTTAGTGCACTTCTCCTTCTCCTTCTTCTTCTTCTAGACAATGTTACGCTTCTTTCTATGTATCAACTTTCTATTCACATATAAACAAATTTTTGATGTTCTATTAGGCGGTCAAGTAATTTCACGTTGAGTATCGATTTTTACACAGAACTAATTAAAAGGACCTATGAATGTCGCTCATCATCAGTAGTTTGAGAAAATTTTTTATCTGAGATGGGGATGACTTCATTTTGACTGTGCTGTTTGAGCTAGTTGATTTAATTGCAAAGCATTCGCTATCCTCCTGGACAACATCTTCAGTGCAAGCTTCTATGAGAAGTAAACTTGTTTGAATTCTCCATGACAGGTGAGATAATTGTATCTCCCTATAGATAAGCATTGTCGTGGTCGGTTGTTAAATTACATCTTTATTTTTCATTATTTCCGACTTGGAAATCGAACTTTTCTGTTAAGAAGTGATTTATTTATTTTTTCTTAGTTGGTAAGTGTGACCCCATATTAGTGTGTTTTTATTAATCGTCGATTCATCTGAACAGCTGACTTCTAGAAATCCCCTGGCACTTTTACTGTTCCGACTTTTCAAAATCTCTACATTCTGACAGTCAAATTGGTATCTGTAATTATCGACATTCGATGATTCGAAAGAATATACATATCAGATCTTTTCATAGCTAATTGATGTTCTTGAATTCTGAGGTGAAAAGGGACGCCCACTTTGACCAATAAACTGTTTATCGCAGTTTACTCCAATTTATTTTGTAGACGGTAATGATGATGTCTTCTTTAGGTATTCGATCCTTCGGTGTACACAGTATTGAATGAACTGATTGTATTTGAAATGGTTTTATAATTCTAGCAGTTTATTTCAGAGATGTTTTTTATTCATGAGAGAATGAATTTTCTTGTGGTCTTTGAGGATGGTTTCTTGTTGATATTTCGGTTTAAGCTTACACGGTTTTTGATGAAATTTTATAGATTTTCATTCTTCAAACCATACCAAAAACGGACACAGAGCTACCAGTGAACACCAACCCCCGACGAAATCGGAAGTCCTGAAGGCAATCAAGATGCTAAAAGCTGGAAAAGCAGCAGGACCAGATGTTATCCCAGCAGAAGCATCGAAAATGAACCCAGAGACAACAGCGGACTTGATGACTCCACTACTGGAGAAGGTGTGGAAAGAAGGCAAAGTACCTGAAGATTGGAAGAAAGGATACTTATTCAGACTACCAAAGAAAGGAGACCTAAGTCAATGCAAGAACTGGAGCGGAATTATGCTCCTGTCCATCCCAAGCAAAATACTTAGCCGCATCATCCTGGAGAGAATCAAACATGCCAACCTGGATGAAAAACTTCGACCGGAACAGGCTGGATTCAGGAGAAACAGGTGATGCATTGATCAGATCACCACATTACGGATCATCATTGAACAAAGCCTGGAACGGCAGACTTGGAGCCACATGAAAACTGTAGCAGAGGACTGAACGCAATGGAGACGCACGGCTGAAGCCCTATGTTCCTGTAGGAATTAAAGGAAACAATAATAATAATATCAATGAAATGCAATAGGATGGGAAATAAGACTAAAGTTATATAAATGGATAAAAACATGTAGAGCAGGTAGGTCAAAAATTTGTCTGTGTTCTGTAAAACCAGATTAATTGGCCTCGGAATCACTGGTAAACACAGAAGAATTCAAATTTAAATTTTCAAAAGTAAGAATGAGAATGTAATAACCTTAAGTTATGTTGCTAGACACGGAGAAGTGTCATTACACCAACGAAGACCTCTCATTTGGATCCACATATATTGATTTGAACAGTCTTGTCAATCGAAAGAGACTTCGTTCTTTTATCAGACATGGAATTACAATGTATGAAACAAACTGTAGATGAATACCGAAATATCACGAACTGGGATTCCAACTCAGGACCTCCCAGTTACGTGGTAAGTTGAAAGACCATTCAGCCACGAGGAATGAAGTTGATTGGAGTTTCAGTGGGTATTTCTGAAGAGTGAAATCCATCCAGTCGAGCTTGAGAACAAATACTTATCGATGATATTGACTGGCGGTCGAGCTTTAGTCATGAATTGGCAGTAGTTAGGATTGATGGGCTAGTGAATCAGATCGCAGTGGCTAGATAGTCTACGAGCTAGCGTTGCAGCCGGAACGTCCTAGGTACGAAATATGGTGGGTGCGTACTGGTTGACAGTTCCGGATTGGGACGAAAGAGCTGTCCAGTACTCTCTGCTGGTTTTCAATGGTTCTATAACTAATATCAATCTGTGATCTAACTTGAATGAGATAATTTACTTAAACAGAGGTTAAGAAGGGGTCTGGTTAAGATTATAGGTAAAGACGAAACTAGAATAGAATATCACTCTGTCAAGACAAATTTTCATTTAAAATAACAAAATTCACAAAAAGAGGCACAATTTAACAACGTAAAGCATGTTCACCAAGTTGAAACAGAATCATGAACGATTTCCTTTTTGGATGCATGAATTCGGTTTTATTCTTAGAAGCAACATGCGACTGTCTTGAATTTAAATTATCTTAAAGGATTTTAATGCATCAGTTTTGATGATGCCTGTCTAACAGGTAGCAAACAAACAATCACACTACGAAGCACTTTTACACTTTTCATACGCAAGTTTCCTGAAGTACGCTCAGACATGTGGTCAAAAATCCTTCCTTTCGCTTTTTCCAAAGTTTATACTTCGACACTTTCATGTGAATTGACATACTCAGTTGGAAATAACATGAAAAAGGGATTCGTCAGCCGTTGGATAGTCTCAGTAGGCATTTTTATTCAGTAAATTATGACTAGTCCGGCGACTGGACGAATTCGTTTGTGAGCTGCGTTTATTCTCTATTCAATTCTCCCAGTTATATCATCATCTATCATTCCAAGATGAAGGTGGGCGAGTTCTTTCCCTACCGTATCAAATGTTGCCTTTATATTTTGCTATCCTGGTGTGTTTATCAATGAGTTTCAAAGGTTATCCATTGTATCGTGGATATTTTTTAATGATAGCGAGTTTTTTATTCGAACACAGCCAGCCTTTCAGTGAGTTAGAACAATGTCCTCACTGGACACTACTGCAGCTTATTGCACAAAAACTATTGAAATCCAGATATAGTTCACTGTGATGATAATGACGAATATATCTCTTCCCATACTTTTAATCTATAATTCATTTTCTGTTTAGTTCATATCCCAGAGTGAAATGTACATTCAAATGTGTGCCCTCTCAAATAAGCTGAATAATTGGGAGGCATTATTGTTATTATAATTGTTTC